CTCACTCCCCTTGCGTTGCCCTTGCCTCCCCAGACTATATAACTATTTTTTGCTCGCCGAAGCATACTCGAATCTGATCAAAGCAGCCTGAAACTGCTTGAATCTGATTGAAGCGGCAGCATCGGGCTTGACTTCGCTTCGATTTATGGCTAAAATCCAAAAGCTTCGGCCGAAGTGAAGTGAAGTTGATAACACTGATTAGTCCACTTCATGTTAAACTTAAATCCCTTCTAAAATTTCAATATTGGAATTTTTAACTTATTTTCTTTATTTAATTTAAAAAAGTTTTTATTTATTTATTTTTGAATAATGATCCTATCGGACCCTCCCCACTCATATGCGTAGGACCCCAAAAGATTACCATTAAAGTTGGTACGAATCTTTAAAAAAATTATCACATAGGTGTGGGACTTGGCTTTTCTATAGATCTGTGTCAAATTTAATGGTGATCCTTTGGGGTCCTACACACATGAGTGGGAGAGAGTGCCATAAGATCATTTCTCTTTATTTTTTCCATGTTTTAATTCTAAGCCAACATGATCCAGTGTGTATGAAACGTAGTGAATATTCATGTCTTACATTTAATATGGGAAAGCTTTCTATGGAACCCACTTACGTATAAATTATATGTGACCCACTTCTCAACCATTAATCGGAATAGACATCAAGGAATTATCAGGTCACAATGTCACACTAAAATACTGTTTGCTTTTTAATTCTTTTCTACGGAAACATGTTTGCCGTCTCATCTTCTTATAGGGGTACCTAGAAAAAATATATTTATTTCTCATGAAAATAAATGACTAAAATACCCCGAAAATTTTAAGAGGCATTATGGTATTTTTTATCATATGAAATATTTTATTATTATTTTATCACATGAGCCCATGTCATATGTATGCAACTCCAAATTTTGCTTCAAAATGATTCATAAAATAAAGATTAAATAAAAAATTTTGAGCCGTCGGATTAAGATTTGATGCTCGAAGGCCAACTTGTGACATTGTGACTCAAGTCATTCGAGCTATCTACTCAGCAGAAGTCACATATACTTTATGTGTGTGGGTCCCAAATGAAGCTTTCCCTTAGATATAACATTAACTAGTCGCTAATTAAAATATCAAAATATTTTATACATTTTTGTTTTGGCTAATTTCTACACCATGAGCCCACAGACCTCCCGAGGTAAATTTTGGACTCTAAATATTGTAGATGTTCTCGTCGCTAGATAAATGTTAAGGAATAAAGAAAGAAAACTTGAAGTCCTTAAATGCTCGGAGCTAAAATCGATATCTGTCATTCATGAATTTTCTCTTCTATAGAAACTAGTGTTCGTAACATCGAATCGGACCGGTTAAGCGGTCTAACTGGTAAACCGGCCGATTCAACCGTTCTAATCGGGTAAGTTCTGGGCGGTAAAAAAACTGTTGAGAAAAATAGAAAAGATACAAAAAAAATCTCCTAAAATATAAGAAGCATATAAAGAATGATTAAAACAAAATGGATTCAAATGAAGTCGAAAATTAATGAAAGAAACGGATTTTAAAGAATTGATTTGTACTTAGGGGTATTTTTAAAATTTTTCGAAAAAGATGGAAAAATATAAAAGTAAAGTATTAATAATAATAAAAAATTATAATCTTTACTATAATGTAAAGAATATTAAAAAATACACTACAAACCAAATTCTTTATTTTTGAGATTTTATATAGATTTTTTTCATCTTTTCTTTTTAAATACCGTCCGAAACCAGAACCGGCTAGTGGCCAGTTCCGATCTAATCGGGTGGTTACCGGTTAGATCGCCCGGTTTTTCTAACATGGATAGAAACCATTCTCTTTGTTTTTTTTTGTTTTTTTTAAGATATAGGGGCTATGTGCAAAAATCTGGATCAAACAAAAATGTCTATTGATAGAGTTTTTTTAAGAGTTTTTAACCTTTGAGTTAATGCTATGAAAATAAAAACTAGCTCAAAGGTGATCTCCCATACAAAAATATTTACTATTCTTAGTTAAAAAAACGTAGGATTTAATCCTATGAAGGGCTGTATAGACTCCTATTCTAGTGTCACGCTTAAGCTGGGAGGCTTTTCCGACTCCCTTAACCCCAAATCATGAGACTACTATCCGTTATGCATGCAGAGGATGTCACTGAGTAGATTACCTCTTATTATCTCAAATATTTATTTATTTGTTTATTTATGTATTTATTTATTTATTTAATTTGGTAAGCCATTGGTGGAATAACAAGGATGAATTAAAGTCTTGCGACTCGAAAATGTGATATAGGAGTCAAAAGTAAACATTCCCCTAATTTGGGATGTGACCAACAATAACTTGGAACTAAGCTTGGGAAGTTTTCCTAGAGCTCCCTCTGCTCCCCAAACTCATCTATGGTTTTTGTGTCCATAGGCATACAACCATTAGGTATTGATCGGGCGAAGTGGCTCGACGATAATGTTATTGGCATTACCATAATTAATATTTGAGTTAGGCCACTTCCAGCCATTATATCAAGATCAGAGGACAGTGTGTCTCTAGAGTCTAGACACATAAAAATTGGAATTGAGTTTTTTATTCATTTTTTAGACAAATAAAGATATGATGATAGGCTCAAAAGAATGTGGTTGGAAGTAGTCCGCAAAGTTATGGAGACTTATAGCCTAACTGTGGATATAACTTTTAATAGAACAGAATGGAGAAACATGATTCATGTAGCGGGTCTCTATTAATTGGAAAAAAGCTTAAGTGATGATGATGATTCATGTAGCGGGTCTCTATTAATTGGAAAAAAGCTTAAGTGATGATGATGATTCATGTAGCGGCTCTCTAGACAAATAGAGAGCTCACTGGTTAAACTTTACATAATTTTTTTGCAAATAGAAGAAAAATTATGAATCCAATCTTTAAGTTCTTTTGGAATGGTAAATAAACAAATTCTCGCAATCTTATCTTCAACAAATTATCATTTGAATTAAGTAGTCTCCAAACTTACACATCGTTTTGAAAGCACACAATCTTTTTCAGGTTTCAACTCCAAATGACAAAAACCTGGTTCTAGAGTTCAAAATCAGTCCCAAGACTCAACATTTCAATACTCACGCAGAGCCACTAATCCTTTCTATTGTTCCCATCCAGCGGTCATGGGCGATGGGTTCCTCGCACGTGACATAACATTCGAAAACACAGCCGGCCCTGAGAAGCATCAAGCAGCGGCTCTTCGCGTAAATGCCGATATCTCTGCCTTCTTCCAGTGTTCTTTCAGAGGCTACCAAGACTCTCTTTACGTGCACTCGCTCCGGCAGTTCTACCGAGAATGCGATATATATGGCACAATTGACTTCATCTTTGGTAATGCAGCTGTTGTCTTCCAAGGTTGCAGTATCATCTTAAGGAAGCCCATGGAAGGCCAATTCAATGCAATCACTGCACAATCTCGAGATATACCTGATGAAAGCACTGGAATGTCCATACAGAACTGCACAATTGAGCCTGATTCTGACCTAGCTAGCAACCCAGGGTCGACTAAGAACTATCTTGGCCGGCCTTGGCGCGTGTACTCTCGCACAGTTTACTTGGAGTCGTATATCGATAGGCTCATTGACCCGGCAGGCTGGACTAAGTGGTCAGGTGATGAAGGGCTCGACACATTATACTATGGGGAGTACAGTAACTATGGTCCAGGTTCTGGAACAGATAACCGGGTTTCGTGGTTGGGTTTCCACAAAATGGATTACTCTGATGCAAGTAATTTCACAGTATCGGAGTTTATCGATGGCGATAATTGGCTCGTCTCGACGTCATTTCCATATGATGATGGGATTTAGACAAATCTGCATCAGAGTATCCTTTTCTTTTCTTTCTTCCAATTTCTCTCACTCTATTTGTTCCATTTTTAGTGAAACAGGTTTTTATATCTTTTTGTTATATTACTAGCCCTCTTCCCTCTTATTTGGATGCTTAAGTTTGTGTATTGTAAGAGATTGGGCTTGGGTCAAGGCGGTAGCAGCTGGATTTTTATAGCACTATGTCTCAAGTTCCATCCTTATGTAACCGTGTCAAAATTCCATCCTTATGTAACCTTGTCAAAAAAAAAAAATGGCATTACAATTCAAATTAGCAGATGTTGTCATAATGGCATTACAATTCAAATTTGCAGATGTTGTCATCCTCTATAAACATGTCTAATGACATAGAAAATGAGTTGTATATTTTGGACAATTAACTTTGTATCTTGTCTATAAACATGTCTAATGACATAGAAGGGTTTTGCCCCTCATTTCAATTTTATAGCTAGGGTGGCATGTCCTTTGTTCTTGGTATATTGGCTTGTTTTGCACAAGAGGTTTCAGGGACCCGGTTTGGGAGAGTCGGGGCCGTACCAACCATAGTTTGGCTCTAACAATTTGTAATGTGCAATTATGGTGGACCATGTAGCTTGCAATTAAAATTCAATCCAAAAGATTTTTGGAGTAATTTGTAGCATCGAATTATATTGGATGGTGCAAATTGTAACAAAAAATTAAGGCAAAGCATTTTTGAAAGGTGTGGTTTGTCTAAGGTGTCCACCTTATCATCTCTAAATTTTAACGGAAGGTGCAGTTTTGGCATCTCGAACCTTTCAATGACTTGAAAATTTATGTTTAGCCCTAATTATAAAATTTAAAATTTAAAAAATGGTGCAAATGGAGTAGATCTATAAACACTTGAAGATTTTGAAAATAAACAATCTTGATTGCTTGTTACAAGATGCACTATTTTTAGGGTTTGAATTTATTTTCTTTCTTATATTTATACATCTCAAGGTTGAGATAATCAATTGGATAGTTTTTCAATTTCAGAACACTCTTATCTATTGAACTTTTAAGGTGCACCTTATTTCTATAATATAACGGTGCAACCTTATATAAACTTTTTCTATTTTTAAATGTCATATGCTGGATATAGTGCAGATGTGAGGCCCATAAGATACATACATGTGAGGCCCATAAGATACATACATGGGCATTAATATGTACCCTTCTTTAGTTTAAGGGGATTTGTAGATACCCACAACCCTAAACTACATGGCTCAAACCAGTGTTCGAAAAATCGAATTGGCCAAGTGCCAGGTTCAAACCGGCCGGTTCAAACAGCCTAACCGAGTAGGTTTGAGCTGGTACAAAATATTTTAAAAAAATAAAAATACAAAAAATATGAAAAAAAATATTTAAATCATGATGAAATAAAGCAAATCCAAATGAAGTTCAAATGTAATAAAAATTTGGATTTTAAAAAATCGATTTGTGCCCTAAGAATATTTTCAACATTTTTCAAAAAAAATGGAAAATGTAAAATAAGTATTAATTCCAATCTTTTCCAAAATGATGAAAAATATTCAAAAACACACTAAAACACAACAAACATAGGAAACCACCAAAAGATCCTCAAATTAACACAGAAAACCATTCTATGCATCAATCAGACATCCAGAAATCTAAAAAGTAACATTTTAGAATCGTGACACCATAACACCACAAAAAGACAACTAAATTGCCCAAAATGGGGAGTAAAAATTGTGCAGATCATAATATTTCTAATGGTCCAATAATTATACAATTTTAATTGATGGTTTGAAATCTATGACTAAAACAAGATTGTTTGCCAATATTCCATTTCAATCCTCACTAGGTTACACGGTGTGCCACGCGTAACTTATATAGAAAAACTGCCTAAAACTGTCCCGGGTACATAGACCGTTGGCAAAAATAAAAAATTGGGCCTCCGATCGTCTAAATTTAATATAGCATCCCACTTTAACCTACATTGGAATTTAGTTTTTTCCCAAGTTCATATTCTGGTGGTGTGGCTACTCTGTCCTTAGGCTTTTTCAAGCTTAACATTGATGGGCATCTAGGCAGAATCTAGATAGTCTTGGTTGTGAGAGTATTACCAGGAATGATGCAGGTGGATTTATAGAAGCTTTGTAGCTTAATAGGGTGCTAATTCGAATAATGTTGTTGAATTCCACGCACTTAAGAGGGGTATTGTATTGGCAATGGAGCTCAATTGTAAGCCTATTGTCATCGAGAGTGACTCTTAGCTTCTTGTTGATTTTATATGTCAGCGTTGCAGGCCTCTTTGGAGATTGCTGCTAACATTGGCTAATAGTTTATCGAAGCTTAATAAAAAATTGGGCCTCCTATCGTCTAAATTTAATATAGCATCCAACCTTAACCTACATTGGAATTTAGTTTCTTCCCAAGTTCATATTCAGGTGGTGTGGATACTCTGTCCTTAGGCGTTTTCAAGCTTAACATTGATGGGCATCTAGGCAGAATCTGGATAGTCTTGGTTTTGAGAGTATTACCAGAAATGATGCAGGTGGATTTATAGCAGCTTTGTAGCTCAATTGGGAGCTAATTCGAATAATGTTGTTGAATTCCATGCACTTAAGAGGGGTATTGCATTGGCAATGGAGCTGAATTGTAAGCCTATTGTCTTCGAGAGTGACTCTTAGCTTCTTGTTGATTCTATATGTCAGCGTTGCAGGCCTCTTTGGAGATTGCAGCTAACATTGGCTAATAGTTTATCGAAGCTTGCAGTTTTTGCTAATCAGCAAGGGAAGGCTCAACACCTTTATAGGTAGGCCAATATGGTTGCAGACTCTTTGGCCAAAGCAACAGTCTCTTTGACTGAAGCAACTGTGTGGTGTGCTCATCCCCCTGATTTTGTAATGCCTTTCATTTTATTTGATATTGCTAGTGCTCCCATTCCAAGGGTTGTATAAGAACTGTTCATGTAATTCCTCTTTTGATTCTTCAATAAAACATTTAAGGACTCTATATCCCCACCGATTCACCCAAAAAAAAAACTGCCTAAAACACCCCAAAAACTACACAACGTACAATCTATGGCCCCCACATAATGACTCCACCTAAGTGGCACATGAAAGATGAGACCTTCCTCTGCCTGGCTTGTGCGTTGATGTGATTCTTGCTTGTGGGACGTGCTTTTCTTTCTTTATGTTGTGCACCAAAGCTCTAAACCTGACGGGTTGATGTTTGGCAAATAAAGTACGAAAAATAAAACATAAAACACATTCCACAAGAACATAAAACATAAAACACATTATACCAATGAAAGTCACATTATAGATTTTGGAACAAATCTCGAAAAAAACACAAGTCGAACAAACCTTTCTAAATCACTCTCCCTTCTTTCTCTTTGCTTCTGGCAACTATTACCGACAACACCATATACTTTACTTCTGCCAACCATTACAGACAACACCAAATAGAGACGCGAAAGCAATGAGAAACCAACTTTCTCTCTAACTAAAAGAGGAAAAAATCCAAAATCTCTATAGGAAGCCTTTCTGCATGAGTCTTCAAGAGGCACTATCAATGTTTCTCTTTGTATGAAGTTCTTTTCTCTCTAAAATGAAATCTTGCATCTTATGCACATGAGACCCCACTCCCCTTTATCTTTAGAGGAAACCACCTTTCCCATAGGGTGACCCAAATAGGGCACATAGATTCTCTACACTTTCATCTCATATATATAAGATTAGGAGTCCATACTAAATATGAAACTTCTTATATATCTGACATATATCTCAAGAACCAAGACATATATCACAGTCTTAATCCTTTTGGATTTTTATTTCCTTTAGGAAACTTATGAATGTCAAACTCAATCTCAATTCCACATGATATGGAATTTCCTTATGTGGGTAATTTTGGATAGCACCAAATCCAACTTTCTCCACCATGATATGGAATTTCCTTATGTGGGTAATTTTGGATAGCACCAAATCCAACTTTCTCCACCTTGATATCAAAATCACCTGCTCACCATGCCAACATCCATTGGATAGCTTCATAAATTTTTCATGTTTTGCCAAATAAATTTCTTCATCATTCTTGCTGAAAAATAGTGTTTGCTATCAAATTTTCCCACCTTGAACCTTGCATTTGAAACCTTTATCGCCATACAGACTACCCAAGCCAAGCTCTGATACCACTTGTTGTGCGTGGAAGCTCTAAACCCGATAGGTTGATTTTTGGCAAATACAGCACGAGAAATAAAGCATAAAACACATACCACAAGAACACAAATATTTACGTGGTTCACCTTAGAAGGACTACATCCACAGGCACGACAAACTGAAATCCACTATACCAATTAAAGTTACATCATAGATTTTGGAAACTCTTTTAAATTACTCTCCCTTCACTCTCTTTACTTCTGGCAACTATTGCCGACAACACTAGATACTTTACTTCTGACAACTATTACCGGCAACACCAAATAGAGACACGAGAGCAACGGGAAACTGACTTTATCTCTAACTAAAAAGAGAAAACAATCCAAAATCTATATGGGAACTACTTCTCTACAAGAAATCAATATCTCACTCTGCAGGAGTCTTCAGGAGGCACCATCAATGTTTCTCTTCATAGGAAACTCTCTTCTCTCTAAGATAAAACCTTGTATTTTATGCACAGGAGGCCCTGCTCCCCTCTATCTCTAGAGGAAACCACTTGCATTTGATGCTTGTATGACACTTGTATTTGATGTCGATCCCTCCTAACTAGTAAAAAAATATAAAAAAATTAAATAAACATGTTGCCATCACATTTTGTGAGATTGCAACACGGTGCAGAGGGATTCATTCTTCATTCATGGACACAGATATTTGTGCCATCAAACGCAATGATGAACCTTCTTTGGCTTCAGAGATAAAGTAACTTCTTCAAAGTTGAAGGTTGCTGAGACAATGCCACTAAGAAGTAGAAATGCATACAATGATGAAATTTATTTTGTGATAAAGAAGTCACAATCATTATCGACCATTACATCTGAAATTAGTTGGCTAGTGGTGTGTAATTGACTAGCCACAATAGAATAAAATTTTTCGAACTATGTGACACATTTTAAGCCGTTGGATATCACATCCGATGGTCAAGGGTCATTGTGATCACTTTATGCTAAAAGTGGATGGTGTTATACTATGCAATCCATTAATAAATATCCTTCTACTCTTAGGGCTTATTTGGATTTACTTGTTACCATTGATAATTTACTATTTTAATAAAAATAAGGGCAATTTAGCAAAATACCCGTTAGAAATAAACTATTTAAGATTTTGCCAATTTGCAACTATTTCAACTTAAAACCATACGTTTATCCATGGATATTTTGAAACTAAAATCAAAATATATGGATCAAGT